ATGGCTGCATCAACACTACTGCTGTTCCTGAAACCACGCCTTCTTTCTTTGCGTGCACATTTGGGTGGCATTATGCTAATATTTCCACATAGTGATGTAGACATGTGGGCGCGTGTTAGAACGAGCCGTTTTAGGAGTGCGTGGTTGACTCTGAACTTTTATAAAGAATATGTCTTTGGATTTGAGACTTTAGTCTTTGCAACTTTACAGATCTTCTTTATGCACCAAGAGCTTGTAACACTTCAAAGAGAAAGGAAAACTTGAAATCGCATCATATGACCCCTTTAAAAAGTGACGCACACTTCCGGTTCTTACGACTTACTGCTGCAAGGATGGTGAACGCTGCCTTAACACGTGGCTGTAGTGTAAATAGTGCCTGAATGCTGGGTCACAGAAGAGCGTTCACATCCTGAGAAACTGCAGAAAAAGGAAGCTCAAGCACATTTGTTCCTGTTCAGTGTGTTTCCTATTGATATGATTGATGTGTGTGTTGATATTCATCATATGTTGTGTGTCTGTCAACCAAGAGTATATTATATATATACTGTATATACATATACATATTAAAAAACAAAACATTTTTGTTTTAATTTTAAACCAATAACCTGTTTGCACAAACTGTATTTTATGATGACACTGTTGGTAGAAATACAGTAATTAAAAGTCATAAATATGAAAAAACAAATGCATTACTGTGGATCCTGATCATGTGACACATGGACTTGAAACTTTACTTTTCTAGTTAAATACAAAATTCTTTTTCACAATTTTCATGTCTATATAATCTTAACCTTCGTAAACACAGTAAAACCAATGGAGTGTATTAATCATTTAATAAGATAAATCAAATGTCAATTTGGGAAGATATTTTATTTTGTGCGGTACAGTAGCGGTTGCTACTACGGTAACTGCGGTAACTGACGGTTAATTAATTATTTCGGAAAGTTATGAAATATATACAAAAAGATGGAGATAAAAAAATGTGCATTTAGAAATGTCTGTTAGGAAGTTTTCTGGAATAATCTGTTCATCACGCGTTAGCGTTGCTAGCATAACATTAGTTAGCCAAACGTCAGTTACTAAAGAATTTATTTACAGATCACTAACATGTTTTTTGTCATATATTTGTGATATTTACATATAATAAAGTGATAAACAATGACAGTGTTTGTAAATATTCCATCAAATAATGAAGGAAAACTGTTATGATTACCTCCTCTTCAGGCAAACGATTTCATTTCACGAGTGAATATTTGTCGTCAGGTGAAACTTACTAGTTAAACTGATTAATACTCTACTACATATATGAAAAATGAACACTAGTAAAGTTGCTTAACATATGCTTTAATGTTTTAAAAGATTCCTTACAGTCATTGGATAAATAAGCTGCACAAACTGCAGGCCTTGGAGAGTATGAAGCTGATTATGCCGACATACACCCTCAGGTAGGCACATTTCTGACAGCTCATGGTTTAATTGTCTTCATGGCCTGAGAGTTTCACCAGAGCAGGTATTGCAGGTGTGTGTCATCCTCCACAATACAACCAGGAGGAATTCCACTGGAACATCAACACCACCTGACGAGGTTGAGCACATGACCCTGAACTTATTTCACTTCAATAATATCACATAGGTACACCAAATATTCTTTATTGCTTTTTACATTGATAATCACATTAAACGTTGTGTTAATACATCACCCTATATACTTAAACATTGCATGATTAAATAATCGCATAGCCATATAAGTTGACATACAGCAGCCCCAAGAATTATGTTCACATTCAAGTCACACTGCATGAACATCATTCCTTTTGATTATTATCTTGGCACGTGCACAAAACACAATGTGTTTAAAAAAAAAAACATTAGTTGGTGTTCACAGTTTTTGTTCATTTGCCGGGAAAACATTAAGTGGTGTGTCTACATCTCCAGTACAGAAATATGGGAACACCCTCTCTGGAAATCCACCCGTGTAGGTGCACAAAATTCTGTTTCTGAAGGGTTCAGTGAATATCAGCTCTCCTTCATCATAGTCCAGCTGCAGTCGGATGATATTTGGCCTTTCATTGCTATCAATATCACTGACAGGTTTATTTCCTTTCTTGTATGTACCATTCACGTAACGTAAACACCAAAAATGACTCTTTGGATCCATTTTGTAAAGTCTTTTGCGGTTCACTGTTTCCCCCACCACTCCCAGTGTCCAGTGGTCATTGTCTCTTACCTCTACATCCCAGCAGTGCACACCTGAGCTGAAACCCTGTGAGGCCAGCACTCCCACATACAGCCTTTCTGGATGATCATGCATAATAATTTTCATTTCTAAGTACTCAACACTGGTGTAATCCTCTGACACCAGCAGTTTATTGGAGGCTGTGTCTGGATCCAGAGTCACAGGAGCTGTAAACACAGATGACCGTAAACTACAGAGCCTTTCATCAGTCAACCTTACGTTGGGTAAAAGTCACATCTTTATGTTAAGTAATTGCTGGGATCAGTTCATAATATATACATGATGCTAAACAGAACATTCCAGAATCACACACAAGTTCTTAACATCAAATGACATCCTATATAAAAAAACAAAATTTTCAACTTGTAACTTGTCATGAAAATAGCCAAGGAAGCTGGCATGTCATTAAAACACCAACCAACCAATCAATCATCAATCAATATCTGATGATTATAGTTGTTACTTACGCTGTTCAACATGGTTCTGCATTCTGGCCCAGGTGGTGAAGATCATTGTCTGAATGGGATAGTGTTGATGTTCCTGTAGTTCAGGGGTTGTGTTTGGTACTGATGGGTGTTGGAGTCTGTAGATAAACAGTAAGATATTTGGTGTTCACTGGCTAATATGGGGTTGCAGCTGTAACCAAATGCTAATTGGGAAAACTCACCTTTTTACTGTATCGCTGTAATTCTGAATGAGAAATAAAAAGCAATTGGCACTTAGTAATGTGGTTATGCAAACATCATGAACATTGATTATCAGACATATCTGCACCAGATACAGCTCTCTGATAGACTTTGGTAGCTGGTGCATAGTTGAGTATTTCATCTGTACCTGGAGAAATGTGATGTTTTCTTCTTCCATATCTTGCCAGACGGCTGCCATATTCTCAGACAGATCTGATATCTGTGCGGACAACTCCTTCATTCTGGTCTTGAGTTTCTCATCTAGAAGTTTAATTTCTTTATGCAAGGATCTGATGTGTTTCTCCTCCTCGTCTCTAAGAAACTGATGGAGTTTCTCAAATTCCTCCTTGATCTGGTTTTCATGCATACTAGTGTGTTCCTGAAAGAGTTCAACCTTTTCTGTTAACAGTGTAAAAGTTCGCTACTGATTACAACACTAATAGAGCATTCAAGTCATCTTCCTGATTCGTAAATATGAACTTCCCAAGAGGACTTGAACATGCCACTTACCTTAATGAGCTCAGCCTGTTTCACACAGTTCTCTTGAGCTTTCTTGAGGTCAGCGAGTGTCTCATGCAGTCTGTCCATTTGTGTCTTGAGATCCTCCTAGAATCACATGATAAACTCTTAATTTTGAGCATGAAGATGTCAGAAGTCAGTCAGATCAGATTTCAAACTCTTCATACCTTTAAATTCCCAGCAGCCTCGTCGACGGGCGAACACTTGTGATTTTCATGCTTCTTTGATGTGTAACAGACCACACAGATGGGCTGCTTGTCCTCGAAGCAGAAGAGTTTGAGTGCCTCTTTATGTTCTGGACAAACGTCTCCTGAAACAGCTGTGGGTTTTCTCTTCTTGAAGGACTCACAGAGCGCTCTGAACGCCAGGCTCTTGGTGGGCTCGTCGTGAGAGCATTCCTTCCGACAGACCGGACACTGCGGCACGTCTTGAGTCGTCCAGAAGCGCTGGAGGCATTTCTCACACAAACTGTGGCTACATTTCAGAGTGACCGGATCGGTGAAGATATCACAACAGATGAGGCATGTGAAATCCTCTTCAAGGAAGGACAGAGTGTCTGCCATGACTGAAGTCAGTTCTCAGCCAATAGAAGTTTCAACTGAAATTGTAGTAATAGTAATACCTGCTTTACTTCTAAAACTCAATACATTTACTTACTTACTGGAAATGCTGTGAAACCTGCTTTACCTTTCCCCACCACACCCAACCCTTTCATTTCTTGTACTTAACTTTCGTTTACGTAGAAGATTTATCAACTCCTCCCTCAAGGATGTCATATTACAATGAATAACAACCAGGAAATGTTCACATAGTGTGGCTGCACCTGCTTAGCATGAAGTCTTACTTAAATTAGAGCATACATTTTATATTTAGGGATTAGCAACTACTAGTTAGTTTGTAACTGACTTGCATGCTTAATTTGGTTGAATGTACACTCATAATTTCAGAATGCAGTGACAACTCTTACACTGATTACATATGTGCAGTGCACCGATATCTAGTGATTATTTACTGTCCGTGTATGATAGAAGTAGACAAATGTCCCGAACTATCATTTTAATGTCAGCAAGAGCCACAGTGACCACGGAGTAGGAGAAAATATCTGAGTTGTGTAAAATTGTCACTAGATGGCAGTTGTCACTGGTAGGTTTGCCGAGCCCAAGTTGGTTTGTTTTTCTGTTTCCAGATGCACTGTTGTGATTGTTTGTTGGTGTGTTTTCAGCTGACTACACCGTGATGCAGTATGGACGTGTGGCGGAGGACATCTTCACTCTGGGCTATTACTCAGAATCGCAAGAAAAAAAGTACGAGTATCATCAGAGCAGGTGTTGCAGATATGTGCAATCCTTCATAGTATTGTCAATATCAGAAAGGGGGAAATGCCACCAGTTTGAGGTTGAGCCCATTACTTTGGACCAATCAGCCTGGCAGAGGTGACATCACTACACTGTATTATACTTGAAATTTGTTACACCAAATAGTCTTTATTGCTTTTTACATTAATAATCACATTAAAATCTGCCTTATTAATGCATCATCATTTATATGGAAAGATTGCATGATTAAATAATCACATTACTGGACATACAGTGGCACCAAAAAGTATTTGGACAAAAAATGTCATATTAGTTTTGGTTTAGACATTTTGTTTATTTGCTGGGAAAAGACTCAGTGGTGAGTCCGGATCTCCAGTATTGAAATATGGGAACACCCTCTCTGGAAATCCACCTGTGTAGGTGCACAAACTACTCTTTCTGAAGGGTTCAATGAATCTCAGCTCTCCTTTGTCAAAGTCCAGCTGCAGTCTGATGACATTTGGCCTCTCATTGCTATCAAAATCGCTGATAGGTTTTGTTCCTTTCTTGTATATACCATCTACATTACGAAAACACCAGAAACTATTTTTTGGATCCATTTTGCAAAGTTTTTTGCGGTTCACCGTTTCCCCCATCACTCCTAGTGTCCAGTTATTGCTATCTCCCACCTCTACGTCCCAGCAGTGCACACCTGAGCTGAAGCCCTGTGAGGCCAGTACCCCCTCCTGCAGCCTTTTTGGGTTATCAGACACATGCAGTTTCACTTCTACATACTCAACACTGGTGTAATCCTCTGACACCTGCAGTTTATTGGAGGCTGTGTCTGGATCCAGAGTCACAGGAGCTGTAAACACAGATGACCGTAAACTACAGAGCTTTTCAACAGTCAGTCCCAATGCACCACTACCCATGTGTTTGTGTTTTGTTAAGTATGTGGGTAGGTAAATGAATGAATGAATAGGGGCAGTTGTGGTCTAATGGTTAGGGAGTTGGACTTTGAGCAAGGCACCGAACCCCCAACTGCTCCCCGGGCACTGCAGCAAAACTGCTGTCCATTGCTCTGGGTGTGTGTTCAGTCTGTGTGTTTGCTCACTACTCACTGCTGTTGTGTGCACTTGGATGGGTTAAATGCAGAGCACAGATTCTGAGTATGGGACACTCACATTTACTCACCTTCATGTCTTTCCAAACCTGTATGCTGTTATTTTTTTCTGTTCCACCCAATAAAAGTGGATGGTGATGACTAATGGCTTTGTCCAAAAACCCCAATTGTTTTATGGTACTTTAGGTCCATTTCATGGCATGTCAGAATAGGCATAATTACAAGAGTCCAACATGTAAATAGCATTTACGTCATTGTAGAAGTCATAATCACAACTTTCTTAGAGCTCTGACTCGTATGACCACTACAACGCCACCTGGTTACACTCAAAATGACAGTGGCTTCAGCAGTAAAACGTAGTTAATCAGTGATTTCGTACTATATTCAACTGATAAATTCGAGTCCAAGGTTGTGAACAGCTCCAAGTTGAATGTCACGTGTTATCATTTCATCATGCCCATGAACGCAACATTCTATGGTGTTTTTGGTCCATGTTGGACAGCCTCTGGTTATCGTGAACTGTATGGAAAAGAGCTGAATGATGTTTTCTATTTGTGTTCCATGGGAAAAAAATAATAGCATACAATCTAAGCAGATGCCATTACTTACGCTGTTCCACAAGGTTCTGCATTCTGGCCCATGTGGTGAAGATCACTGTCTGAATGGGATACTGCTGATATTGCTGTAATACCGGGGTCCTGTTTGGTACTGATGTGCATTTGAGTCTGTTACATAAACAATTAGATATTTGGTGTTCAAAAGGTAAAATGGATTGCAGTTATATAAAAAATGTTACTTGTGAAAGACTCACCTTTTTAATGTATCGCTGTAATTCTGAATGTGAAAAAAATAAAAGAGCAATTAGCGCTCAGTCATGTGGTTGAGCAAACATCATAAATATCGATTATCAGACATGCTTGCTGCAGATTAGAGCTCTCTGCTGGACTTTTGGTCCCTGGGATCACATTAAGTGTTTACTCTGTACCTGGAGGAATGAGATGTTTTCAGCTTCCATATCCTGCCAGAAGGCTGCCATCCTCTCAGACAGATCTGATATCTGTTTGGACAACTCCTCTAGTCTGGCCTTGAGTTTCTCATCTTTAATCTCCGTTTCTTTACGCAACGATCCGATCTGTTTCTTCTCTTCCTCTGTAAGAAACTGATGGAGCTTCTCAAATTTCTTCTTGATTTGGGTTTCTGTTATACCGGTGTGTATCTAAAATGGTTTAAGAAGATGTAGTCCTTTGTTAAATTGATGTAAATCTTCACTACGGATTACAATACTAACATACACTTACCTTAATGAGCTCAGCCTGTTTCACACAGTTCTCTTGAGCTTTCTTGAGGTCAGCGAGTGTCTCATGCAGTCTGTCCATTTGTGTCTTGAGATCCTCCTAGAATCACATGATAAACTCTTAATTTTGAGCATGAAGATGTCAGAAGTCAGTCAGATCAGATTTCAAACTCTTCATACCTTTAAATTCCCAGCAGCCTCGTCGACGGGCGAACACTTGTGATTTTCATGCTTCTTTGATGTGTAACAGACCACACAGATGGGCTGCTTGTCCTCGAAGCAGAAGAGTTTGAGTGCCTCTTTATGTTCTGGACAAACGTCTCCTGAAACAGCTGTGGGTTTTCTCTTCTTGAAGGACTCACAGAGCGCTCTGAACGCCAGGCTCTTGGTGGGCTCGTCGTGAGAGCATTCCTTCCGACAGACCGGACACTGCGGCACGTCTTGAGTCGTCCAGAAGCGCTGGAGGCATTTCTCACACAAACTGTGGCTACATTTCAGAGTGACCGGATCGGTGAAGATATCACAACACATGAGACATGTCAAATCCTCTTCAAGGAAGGACAGAGCGTCTGCCATGAGTCAGTTCCCAGTAGAGACACTTACTACCGAAAAAGTTCTGACAGGGATTGTAAATAAGCAGGCAATAGCTCTACTTCTAAAACACTGTAAATTGTACTTTGCACTACTGTTGGAGATATTGCGACACCTGCTTTATCTTTCCCCCACACCCCACCCCTTTCATTTAAGTCCATTCATTTCACTAGAAGCTTTAGCAAACAACTCCTCCCTCCAGAATATCACATTATAGCCAATAACAACCACATGGGACAGTTTCACCTGTTCAACATAAATTCTTCCGTAAATTGAGGCATACATTTTGCATTAGAAACTGCTATTTAGTTTGTAACTGACTTGTTTTCTTAATTTGATCAACTATATTTTATAAGATTTCTATGAAGTAATGCACTTGTCAGTTAACTAAGTGTAATAGTGCAATGCACCAATATTTAGTAATTCATTAGTGTCCAACTAGGCAAATGTCCTAAGGGTGAGTAAATGATGGCAGAATTTAATTTCTGAACTGTCCTTTTAAGTCAGCAGGTGCTGCAGTGACCACAGAGTGAAAAAAGAGGAGAAGGAGGTGTCTGAAATTGTCACTAGATGGCAGTATGCATCCATGTAATTTGACCTTATTTTAGGACATCGCAGGCATTTCAAATCATTTCACATTTGATTTTCTTTAAAAGAAAATCAAAAACCCACAAGTGGTTCCCGAACAACCACAATTTTTTGAAAGAAGTTAATTGTCGCTAAAAGCTGTGTGCGTTCATGTGTGTGTTTCCTTTTATTTCATTAGCTTGTTTTTCTCCAGCATATGTCCTACAGCTAAAGGAAGATCAGTTCATTGCGTGGCACTTATTAATCACAGTGGGGTCCTGCAGCTGCTGTTTCTACACTGTCATATGCATAAAAGGATAGGTCACTCAAAAAAAGAAAACTTACCTTCATATCCTTTCAAAGCTCAAGTTGAATGTACTTTATGGTGCTTTGCAGTCATTTTTTTTGCATCTTGGGAGAATATGATCTGTTGTATGTAAAATAACCATGTGAAAATTCTCCTTTTTTACTTTATTCCTCAGGAAAAAAGCATACAACCACAGCATACAGGTTTGGAATGATGAGGGTGAGTAAATAATGATAATTTTCTTTATTATGTCAACGTTTCCTTTAATAAACAGAAAAAACGGGAGACGTAGAGAGATATATCACATAAGCAAGAGTATTTGACAGCCAGAAAGACAGATAGGAGGCAGGAGCTGTGATATTTGAGGGGCCCAGGTGTTTCTGTCTTCATTCTGTTATGTGCGCTCATCTCCCAGGGCTCTCCTGCACTGTCTGCGGCGCTTCATCCATGTGGGACGCGACGCTGCATCAAATCCTCTACAATGCTGGCACAATTTGTTTGTTCACCAATATTGTCAATGTCAGTTTTCCTCCTCTCTTTCACACTGTCTCTCTCTCAAACAGTCCTTACATCAGAATTGGCAAAACCTCTGTCCGAACTCCAGTCCAGCCAAACACTGCAAGAGCTTTCAGTCAAAGGTAAAATGCTCTTAGTTCTCTATATGGTACATGTGGAATTGTCATTTTCCATAAAAATATGTTTTTCACCTTGATCCTTATCTGTTAAAGGAACAGGAAGAGTCACTCTTCAAAATAAAGGTTAAAAAAGAGGGGTTTTGCAGCAAAACCATAGAAGAACCATTTTCGGGTTCCACAAAAAAGTTTTCAGTGAACGGCTCTTAAGTAAAAAAAAAAAATATATATATTTTTTTCACTATAAAGGACTTTTTGTGGAATGGAAAGATTCCATGGATGTTAAAGATTCTTCATAAAGAACCTTTATTTTTGAGAGTGTTCTATCATTATTATACGTTCCATTATTTGATTCCAAACCCATTAAGAGTTGCATAAAGATTCTTTTATGTTTTATTTTAAAAAGTGTAGCATATGAGTTTAAAATGACATGACGGTGAGTAAATAATGGCATTATTTTATAATGAACTAATCCTTTGACATAACAATATATCATTTTGGTGACAGAGCACTTGCTGCCTGCCTAAGTAATATTCTGTGACCCTTTGGAAAGCTAAACAAAGTGTTTTATCCAAAATGTAATCTTTGATAGTATATGAATAATCTATGCCATAAATTAATTATACCATGTCAAAAGGCTTCTTTGCATGCCCTCCACGTTTGTAGTGGCGAACCTCGGTGTATGCGTAATGGGTGCATCTCATTTCAGCTTTCACACATGAATTCAGACCATCGCAGAAATTGGATTAAATGCACAATTTCACCAGATGGACCAGAGCTGCTTACAAAGTGCCAGTCACCTTTTCAGCCCATGTCTTATCTCTCTGGCGAACAGTGGGATATATAGACAAACAGACCATCAATGCCAAGGGCAAAGACACAGAGTTTTCTTGAAAGGGCTCTTGATATGCAGGTGCATCTGTCCAGGTTCTTGTGGGTAATGGAATACTTCAAAACAGGCACACATTCATATCTAATTCTGGTCATGTCTCACAGGAAAAGAAAACCTCAGATGAGATCTCTTTAAAGGAATAGTTTTCCCATAAATGAAAATGTGCTCACCCTCAGGCCATCCAAGATGTAGATGAGTTTGTTTCTTCATCAGATTTGAAGAAATGTAGCATTCCATCACTTGCTCACCAATGGATCCTCTGCAGTGAATGGGTGCCGTCAGAATGAAAGCTGATAAAAACATCCCAATAATCCACAAGCAATCCACACCACTCCAGTCCATCAGTTAACATCTTGTGAAGCCAAAAGAAACAAATCCATCATTAAGATGTTTTCAACTTCAAACCAATGCTTCCGGCTAAAAAAGTTCTCTATACATATTATCGCTTTCTATGGTGAAAAAACAGATATCTCTCCTGAATTAAGAGAGAAATATGCACAGATCAAGCACCGTTTACAAGCCAAAACGGCTCTAAACAAATATGTGTATGGATTTTAATGTGAGGGACAACAGGAGATTTTTTCACTGGAGGAAGCATTTTTATGGATTATGGAGTTGAATTTTAACCAGAAGCAATGTTTTGAAAATAAAACGTCTTAATAATCGATTTGTTTCTTACAAACACGCAGATATTGGCTTTTCAAGATGTTAATTGATGGACTGGAGTGGTGTGGATTACTTGTGGATTATTGTGATGTTTTTATCAGCTGCTTGGACTCTCATTCTGACGGCACCCATTCACTGCAGAGGATCCATTGCAGAGCAAGTCACGCAATGCTACATTTCTCCAAATCTGATGATGAAACAAACTCATCTACATCTTGAATAGCCTGAGGGTGATTACATTTTTAGCAAATTTCCATTTTTGCATGAACTATTTCTTTAATGCCTCACTTGTTTCTCCTAGACAGCAATGAAATCCATCAGCAGCTGAGTGGGGAATAACATGCATCGATGAAGTGCTAAAAATAAGACCAGGAACATGTCAAACATGCAACTTGAGCAATATAGTTATCCTCTGGTGGATGTTATATGGATTTGGCTTCAGGGATTGAGGACCAAAGCCACGAGATGGCCAGTGTTCAAGCTGCAGAATCGTGCTTTTTAAAGGTGTAACATCAATTCAGAAAAACAGATGACAGCAGCGCAATTGAGCCGAATCGCTCACCACTGCAATCTTACCTGTCTTTAAAAAAACGCTTGTAGGTTGTGTTCGGGAGATTAATTTGTACCTGGAAATGTCTTGCATTGTTTTTTTTTCTTCCAGGGCAATATAGAGAAACGTATGTTCTGTGTTGGCGGGATGGAGAAACGAACCGGATCTCTGGGAGCACATGGAGATTGGGTTCCAGAGCTCAAGCTCGCTGCGATATGCAGCAGTCAGCTGATACTGTAGAGCTGTCAGTCTGGAGACGGGACACACGCACACAATCAGGTACAGAGTGATGAATTTCAACATCAAAGCGGACACAAAAACACACACGCACAAACACGTACAAATGCAATTATACTTAAAGCTGCTCTAAGCAATTTCTGTGCCACTGGTGGCACCAAACCACACGGCAAAGTAACTTGATTCTTCTTATGTTTTTCTGAAGCAAATTGCTTGCAGGCACAAGTGAAAAGGCTCCATGCATGTCTCTGTAGATATGGCTCGGGTGCATGCAAGTATGAGATTTTTTTCACTTACATTTATCCGCCAAGTGAAAATGGTTAGACTCGTCGTTTAGAAAAGTGATAACACACAAGCCACATGATATTCATGCTTAAATGGTGCAGAACGAGTACAAAAGTTGAATTTCAAGCAGTGATAATAATCAGAAATTTTTCTTGATCAGATCAGCATACTAGAATGATTTCTGAAGGATCATGTGACACTGAAGACTGGAGTAATGATGCTGAAAACTCAGCTTTGATCACAGGAATAAATTACAACTTCAAATATATTCAAATAGAAAATTGTTGTTTTAAATTCTAAAAATGTTTCAAAATTTTTACTGTATTCTTAATCAAATAAATGCAGCCTGGGTGAGCAGAAGAGACTTCTTTCATAGATATAAAAAATTTAAATATTCTAAACTTTTGCCAAGTACGGTATAATATTAAAACAGGAAATTACGTAATCTCCCACAATGCATTTAGAGGGACACGTTTACCTTTTCTGTTCAAGCAGTGTCAGTCTGCACATGAGAACAGAGAGTTCCTGAATGTGTCTTTGTGCCGTGTGACGATGGCTGTGTAAACCGTGTGTTTGAGGATCACACTGCAGTGCAGGGTGATGAATGGAGGGATGGAGGAAATTCGTTGCTCAGGTAACCAGACGGCCGCTGTTTCCCCGTGCGTGGGTAGATATAGACACGATCTGCTGGGATGCAAAGCAGGAATGTCTCATCTAGCAATTACTGCACGCAGCACGGAGCAGCAGGCCATAGGTACTTTATTAAAGTTACACAAATGTCTCATATTTCTCTCGGTAGACCAGACTCATTCTCTCTGTGGATCAAATTCATCTCTCATCTTAAACCCAGCCATTTTAAAAAACCCCAAACCTATTAACTCCTCTCTGTAAGTCGTTTAAGATATTGGTTGAGTCTCTTAAAGGAATGCTGGGTCATGTTTCACTCTTAAAAGAAAAAGGAAAAAAG